CTGAGGAATGTCCTACAAGTCCATCACCCTTGCTACCGTGTTCACACTGTTGATACAAATTTTCAACGCTTCAAATTTTTTGTCGCAGGACTTATTTGCCAACCTAATATATGTCGACTGCCTGGGACAAGAACGAGCCTCTGAGATCGAGGCTGTCTATTTCACTCTTTACAAAGGAAGAAGTCTGAGTCAAGGTAGCTTGCGCTGCGATTTTTTCGCACATGTTCAGAAGGGTCTCTGGCAATAACTGTTTGATGTATATGCCACTCTCCAGGAGTGGGAAATTGTCGCTCCCTATGGTGAACAACTCATCAGTACGCTTATGGATCAAGTCCTCACAGCGCCATGCGAGAATTAATGCCGAACACAGAACTTGAGACGTCGCCCAGGGTTCAAGAGATCATGATATCCCCAATAGACCCAATTGTGAGGTTTAAAACAGTGGAGTGCCAACTTGGACCACTAGCATATGTTTCCCGTAACAAATCTCGGATCGACACATTATTAGACCATTCAATTTGACCATTGCTAGCAGAGTTTTTCATTCCGTGAGCAAACAGTTAGCTCTCTAAAAATCGTAGTTAGGTCAATCGGGTAATAGGGCGGCTCACGAATGTGTGTGTTTTTGATTTCAGAGGATTCATTCTCCCTCGATGCACCAGGGGTCCAGCAAATACCAGACACTTTTCGAATATTGTATGTTAATGATTTCGATGATCCATTCTATCTACGTCTACTGGAAAATATGTTACCAGGTCGAGTTATACTTCTTTACTATTTTTTTATGTTTTCGAAGGAAGAGCAAGCGCACCATGTTGGGTAATATGTTGGTTCCACTACCTGCACGGCGTGTCGCGTTCGCCGCGTTCAAACCCAATCCGGGAGAGGCATTTCAATTCCCACTGGAAGATTGCGGTGATTCCCGCAAACAACCACCGCTGTTCACCGTACAAATTCGGGTAGAAGAACCGCCTTACGATGGGAAATGGTCAAGAACGGCAGGGTCAAGCGTGTGCCACGGGACTCTAGATGATCAGCGAGGATGCGGTTTCATGATTTGAGAGTTGTTGAGTGGCGAACGTCCCAGCTGTTCAACATGAATCCGGCTAGCATTTGTTCGAGGGGAATCCGTGGTTATGGCTTTACCTTATGCGACCCCAACATTTGCCCATATTTTAGGTGTAAGCTCTTAGAGCGTTTAGAGGCAGATCATACGCTTAACGACCGGCAGCTACTCATGAGTAGTGTGCTTAGCGCTATCATGATTTCTCTTACTATTAGATATTCGCCCATAGCCCAGTCCGCTTGTAAAGACGCACACGTTCACATCCACAGCGTGGTGCCCCAGAATCGCTGGAGAAGCGGTGTGGGGAAACGTTGGCATCAAGGCTAGGGTCGTGGAAAGGCTTCCGTCAATATCTAGATCTATCTAGGTTTTCTCTCAGAGAACGACTTTCTCCCATCATTGGTACCTACCCGTCGACCGGGGAGTTGTGGAAAGGGGGTGTGTCGCTACGTGTAAGAATTCTAACTCGAAAAGGAAACTTAATTCCTATAAATCCTACCATGTTTGATCCCTTCAAACCTTTTGTTTATTTCGCACACACAAACCATCTTTGCGCATACTCCCCGACCCCCTCGGACCTGGAAAAACAGTTTAGGTGGTGTGAAGCTCAATAGGACAGTCTGTTTCAGAGGAGGAAGGTGTCGGAGCCGAAGAAGCGCAGAACGTACAGCAGGATACAGCGAAAGGACCAGAAGAAGCGAAGCGAAGTGAGACATAAGGAAGCACAAATTGTAGTGTGACCCGTAAATAGGAACTTAGATGTAATAAAGTATTTTCAGGTGAAAAGCGCAGTGCTCGAATCGAATTACCCCTTGTGAGGAAGATTGTTGAAAAATTCAAATCTGATGCGAATAAAGCAGATTCAACGATGAAAATGGACAGCAACCCCAGTACCACGAAAATCGTTATTGAAGATAAAACGCAAAGATCGATGTCTGAAAAAGAAGTACGGAGCAGAAGTAGAAGCAAGAGCAAAAGCAAAAGCAAAAGCAAAAGCCAACGAAAGAAAAAGCGAAGGGATCAAGTTGACATAATGAAGACGGACATGACCATGCCGGATGAAAAAGGATGAAGCAGATGAGATTTCAGTGAGTTATACAGCTATAGCATTGAAGTAATGGTTCTGACACATCCAGATCGCTAAGCTGTCTTGCTGAATACCACTGCCCCTGTTCGAAGAAAATCGTGACTATTTCCAAGTCTTTTCCATCGAGACCCCTTTACAGAGTGCTGACATAGTGCCAAAGGTCAGAAGGGCTGTCGTGATAGGACGGAATTAGGTGAAAACTCACCTATGTATATATACATGGGACAGGAGCAACCGTCGTCGCGCGAAGGAAGGGGAATTCGCGACGGACGGCGTCTCCTGCTCACTTGGCGCCATAGGTTGCTGCTAATGTTGGCAACATTACCGTCTATCGCCCCACTTGGAGAGCATTACGAAGTCCACCGCTTGAACGATTAGCTGTTCTGAGCAATTTCCGCTGCTCAAGCTCTCTTGAACGTGAACATAATGATTACAAGGTGATAATAACACCTTTACGGAATTATTTCAACATGACTGGCACTTCTCTCGTATCTGTTTGATATAAGCCCTGATCGCGTAGACATAAAATGGTGGTTGGCGGAAAGCGATCTGCCATCTACGGCTGTGAAGCAAGCTGTGTTCCAATATCACCCAAACAGCTGTTTTTGGTATTAAAATGGAGCTCTAGAGTGTTCCGATCAAGTAAATGACTGTTACTTCAGAGTATCCCGTCAACATGGTATCTATCGAGCAAAGTATTGAAGTGATACACTATTAACTTATTAATAAGTGCAATAAAGTCGATTTTTAAAAAAATATGTTTGAAGAATGACATTTGATGGGATTGGGTAGCACCTTACATTGACAATCAGTGCCTCGGCACATGTGAGAAGGTTCTTGCTCAACTTCGAAGCTCCCCAATATTAAAACAGATTTTACACCAAATAAATGGCCCCCTCTTACTCATCTCACAATTAAAGAAAGAGAGATCTTCCTAATACGTGGGAATGGGAATGATCTTCTATACACCCTTTCGTGAATTTCCTCAGCTACTTAGCAACTTGTTATCGAACACCTCCCCCATATGTAGTTCCGACCAAACGTATCTAAAATACAACGTCTTCTGCTCTCTTCAGAATCTTCTTTCTAGAGAGATAATCGTTAGAAAGATCTACTTCCAAGTCTATATACCACCGTTAGTACCTTATCCGACAGCTAGTTGATATTAACATAAAGGGTATCGACGCAGTGATTGATAGAAGAACGCACTATTCCTTCGATGGAATACTTCTAGACTTATTTGCACAAAGGGTTGAAGCGATATAGAATTTTTGGAGCCTCGCTAGTTTTGTTGGCCTTACTTGGTACCCTCTCAATACCTACACATACAGAGACAGTGCGATATTGTTCTGTTGTCTCTGCTTTAAGCAAAGTATGGAGGAGAAGTTATTTTGGGTAGAGAAGCACAAAACCAAATTACAAAAACTCTTTTTTAATTCTCTATCTTTGAAAAACATAGACAATGGCTTGACTTTTCAACAGATCATACGAATTGTGTTGTGGGAGAGGAACGTCTTGCCAAAGTCCTTGTAACGTCTATGTGTTGTTATTTACTTTTTGTTAATCTCGAGTAAACCTCTAGACTTTTTATTCCATCATTCATTAGCATTTAAAAAGACGACGTTGAAGATGAGAGATTAGTGAGATCGAGTGATCACACTTCGAGGGATCACAAAAACTTCACTGTCTCTAACGAACAGTATTGTACTCTACTCTGTCTAGGCAGATCCGACTTCCTTCATGTCGACCCTATTGATCCTCTTGATGCACCCATGGAAGCAAGCACTATCAGATGGTATGTAAATAAACATTGTAGTAACGAATGGCATCAACTGACAGTAGGCAAACATTTGGATCGCTTACAGCAAACATCCGCAAGTTAACACTGTAACAATTGCGCGCGCTGGTGGTACTGTATTCAGGTGTCCGGCATGGGCCTAAACTGGCATAAAAACTCTTAACAGTAGTTTTTGTTCGTGCATTCGTAGAAGAGTCTTACTTTATCTCCGTGAAAGTGAAATGCATGGCGCACTCTGGAGTGGATGGCTTCAAGAGTGTGTGAGATCTCTCCTACATCACATTCCCCATCCATTTCTGCTTGTTCTTCCTTCTCTTCCTTTATCTTTCTTATTTTCTATCCATGATTAATTACAAGTTGAGATTTACAGCTCCCGCTACCGTATCCCGCTGCGTGCATCCAGTAGAGACGCTCTGTCACCTTTCAATCAGCGCGATTTCACGCCTCCATGGGGTGGCCTTTGGCAAGCCGCCATCATAACAAAAATCCACCGCGTTTTGCATGAGAAAACATCAATCATCGCCCATTTTCCCGTTCATGAAGCTTAAACGCCATCTGGAGGAGCATTAAGAGCTTACTGTACATGTGCCGATTCCTAGATGATTTTTAATAGAGCTCTCAAGGACCGGAAAAACGACGACTGCGTTTTCTTCTATTCCGAAAAAAATGTTTTTCTCTTTCCTGATGGCGCAGTTCCGAAAAGCCCCATGCCAGAGGTAGCGAACGGTATCCGAAATGACTTCCCATTAGGGAACGGTGACGTAATCGGCTAAATCCCGATAAGTGGAGGGTGTTGGCATATGGTCAAGCATGATACACAAAGAAAACAGTCGTGCAAACATCAGTTGGTGGATCATCTGCCTATAATTAGGGAAATCGATAGTATCGTTGCAGTAGTTGGGAAATACCGTAGTGAAAAAAGCAGCTATAATTCCTTCTTTTTTGTTTTCAAATTTCTTTTTAATTCGGCTTTGATTACGATTTTTTTTATTCTACAGCAAACAGTTTTGTTTGAACTGCTTACTCTAGGATTTTTTCCCATTTTCGGCTTTGGGGCCTCCAGTAAAGAGATTTTAACCCAATTTTTAGCCTGGTCATTTTTGAATCTCATTTCCCATGACTGCTTGAAAGCTCCTAATCTTCGGCTAATCATTTCGATTGTGTCGGCCAGTGGGGTCAAGTTTCAGACGCCAAATGTTTAGCCCTGTAAGCATGATTGAAGCCAATTCTGAGCTATGATAAATATGAAGGGTAGTCTTAAATATCACATTGTTCTATTACAACAAGAGGGTCCGCTTTCAGTGGGATATTCGTAGCCAATCAACATTCTTCCAATCATACCTTTGAATGACGCCGGCATTATATGGTCAAAATTGTTAGTTACTGTTAACTCAGCCCTTTCAATTACCTGAGTATTGACTTAATTATCTGGCAGAGCTGTAAACTACAGTAGCGCTCAGAAGTATTCAGTGAAATGGTTCTTCAGCCGTATTTTTCAGGCGTAACACCTTTCCTAATAGATCTAATCATGCGAAATTTCTATATTTGGAGCGTGGGTGTATGGTGGATATTTACCTCTATCAGCCTGCAATCTGATCATGTTCCAAATACTCCAAAGGGCATGAACCCAGAATCGACTGAAACTGCAGATGATGGTCCTTCTAGAATCTCTTTCCTTTTTGTCATGTCTAAAGTGTACGAGCGGAAATGCCGAACACACACGAGAAAAACGCACNGTGGATATTGCAGCTTTGCAGTCAAATAGTGTTGGGTAGGGTGAAATATGTTCTAGTTAAACATATCCAAATTTCGGTCCACCAAGAAAAAAGCTATGAACGAAAAACATCAAAGCATTTCAACTAAAACTTTTGAGCGCTACTGTATGTATATATGTATGTGTGTATATTAAATTTCTCGCCATTTTTTGTGTACAGTCAAATTGATGATGTGAGGACTCTAACAGTTTTCAAGTTTCCCGACCACAAATCCTCGGAATAAGCCGTTTTCTACTCACCCATTAAGATCAAATTTTTCATATTCTAATCGGATTTGTCTCTACTATGTCAAGTTTGGTTAAAAAATGCATCAGAAGATAGCTTGACCGGCTCACATGACACCGCAACAGTCACACCTCAAATTCATTGCACCTGCAGTCGTATATGCCAGAATATTTGCCAGAAACTGATTAAGAGATAACTGATCAGCTGAACACGAACACTGAATATGGATAACGTGAAGAATTATTATTAATGCTTTGAGGCCTAGGCCCATGTGGCGCGTGCTTTAATTGCTTTTGACGCTAGTGTACGCGATGTCCATGCCCTGGGCCATACGATGTCTAAAGGCAATTTTCAGCCTAATCCCTACCCTAAAATATAATGTGAGATAAATACAGGACAATTTTCATCAAAAAGGTATAAAGAGGCTATAATTGGGCCGATAAAGAACGATGTTGTCCTAGAAATTCATGCCAGCCGGGATCAGCCAGTCAACTGGAAGCAAGACTGCTTGGCTACTCCGTAAAGCATCCTATCTCATCTCTCTATACTTGGCGCCTTTTTTTGACAAACAAGAAATTATTTGGATAAAATGAAAAGCATTTAGAAGAGTAAATAGACGAAATTCTTTCGATGATTCTTCATCTCTTACGCTCTTTCAACTACGAGTGCAATGATCAGGCAAGCACCGATGAAGAAAGCTGTCCAAGAAGGCTTTGGCTCCCTCTACAAAACTGTTTGTTGAAAGGGATTTTTCCCTTGCTTGGTTTTTGATGTGAAACTAAACAATCGTGATTCCGGTGCTCATTATTACTGTATTTAGGACGATTCAGTCGATTTTGCTTCAGTTCGGTGTCTGTGGCTTATCTATGCTGATCAATTGTATAGTCAAATGTCTGCGCAGTGTTATTGACAAGTACTCCCACTGTAATCGTTCATATCTCGAACCGCTGGGATCCCTATTGTTCGGTGGGTCTTTCCCTGATTTCCCTCTGAAGGGCGCTCCTTCCGCCGCCGACGTCGTCGAATGACAGTCGTCAAATGCGGTCAATCGACGATCGTAAAAATGGAAATGCAACATGTGTGAGTGCACAAATGACTCATTCACGAGTTATGGCCCTATTGAATTCCTTATTTGGCAATCTGTGTTCCTTCGAGCTGCTTGAAATAATAGATCTACCCGGTGGTAA